ATTTTTTGTTAAATATTATACATATTTATTTGATAAGGACTGAACTTTTAACTATTAAGACAAAAAAAAAAACTAGGACTAAAACAAGAAAAAATAGTTTACTCTAACAAATATACATATGCACGGAATATAATTTAAATCCTCGAGTGGTCAATAATTGATCTATAGAATTAGAGAGCCTAATGTTTCTTTAATTAAAACATCGACCTAGCTATACCTTCAATTATTTGCTATAATTAATTAGATATAATAATTTAATACCTTAGTATTCAAAAAATAAAAAAAGAATCAATTATGGATTTGCCATTTTTGGATGGCATTTGTGGATTTTGCCCCTTTTTGAATAGTTTATGGATTTTGTCCTTTTTCAGTCTACGAAAATATGATTTAACATGTGTTTTATTCGTTATGTTTGGGTTTAGTCGGTTGTGGTTGTTCTTAGAGTTTAGTATTTTGTATAAACTACGTATTTTTACCAAAAAAAAAACGAAATACGTACATTTTTAAATATTAAAAATGGCATATCCGTAAGATTTTATTAAAAATGGCAATTTCAAAAGATTTCTATAAAAAATAGCAAAATCAACAATAATCCCATAAAAAAATTGTGGACGAGAGTAGTCAGAAGAGGAATGCTTGTTTCGGCATGCATGTCTCTGCTTCTTTGATGTCGAAATTTATTAGTAAAATGTTCATAGTCGCATATAATAAACTCGAATAATCATTGTTATGACTTGTGCCTTTTTTAATCTATTTGAAATTAATTGTTGTGCATGTATATTTAGTTTAATACATATTGTTACAATTAAATTAAAGGAATGCGGGGATTGCTGAAATTGTTGGTCCAATGGGGTGCCATTTACTGACAAAAATAATTATACCTTGGTCAATGTACGTCTTCCAAGTTACTGTTACGCAAAATCTTATGAGGCTAATTCTCCCATTATTTCAGCACACCTCTATGTTATTAGGATTGGGCATATTCGAGTAGAGATAAACTAACTGGTAAATTACAAGAAATTACATTACGTAAATATGAGTTGAGATAGGTGAATATATCAACATTGGAGATTCTTGTGAACATATATGCATGACGAGAAATGAGATAGAAAGTGAAAAGTAATTTGACCTTGCATGTTAACACAAATGAATAAGTGATTTTTCATTTTTTTGTGCAACAAACTTATATATATATTAATCTTTAGGCTACATCACGAAAAAACCATGAGTTCTTTACCATCCGGGGTTGATTAACAAAAAAATAATCGACATCCCATATATGTTAAGTGTTAACACAAATGAATACTAGTAGTATACAATATTGCTGATATTTTTTTTTTTGCCTGCCTGACTTATCTTCTAATGCTGATATTTTTAAGTGTTTGAACTTCCCATTATTTGAATTAAAAAAATGAACGGACAAGTAAACCTCTCCAATGCAATCATAACGCTTACAAATAATATTGAAATTTATCTCTTTTGGTTCTTTTATTTTTATATTTGGAGCTTTGATCTCTTAACTTTAAGCAGGTTACTACAAACATGCAAGCAGACAACATAATTAGAACTTGCATTATTAAAATAAAATAAATTGAAGTTGCCATTTCAATTTGATGACCGTAAATTTAGAGTTTGTCAAGTTGCTATGGGCCATTGCCAATTGCCCACCAATTGGTTGGCTCATCTTCCGATAATATTTCTTAAAGTAGTACTATGTTAATAATACTCTCGTTTGCTAACAATTTAATCAACCATCTTTCTCCACATATATTGTAGGTTCCAATATAATCTTCAACAACTATACTAACTGAAAGTGTTTATGATTTACATTTAACAATATGGTTTAAGATCCGATCACACATGATAAGGATATCGTAGAGATGCCTTTATTATATTATACACTAAAGAAAACTTTCTTAAGGCACATACATAATTACGATATCACTTATATATGGGATTCGGTAAAAGACAAAGCACATATGACCTTAACTTTTAACTTAATTATACGTGTATAGAAAAAGTTTACTAGCAAACGATTCTTTGCTACAAAGTCTCTTTTCTCCAACACAAGAAAGTGTTTGGCCTCTTAAGCTTGGCGTCACATGTTTGGTAGGCTACTGATTTTTTAAAGCGACCAAAAATTATACGTTATTTTGTGTTTGGGCCTATGATAAAATTAATGTTAGTAATTGACTTCTACTTTTATTCAACATGACAAGTAAATGATAACTCTGCCACCGCCGCCAATATTTTCCAGAATCAAGATAAGTAGTACAAGTAGAAAATATATGTCGTGCCAAGACACGAACGAATACAACTTTTTGGAAACAGTAATGCAAAAAAAAGTAACTAAACCTAATCCTGTGGACTATATTGACTTCTATTTATCCTATATATTATTATCTTAAGCATGCCCATAATGATGCTTTTTTGGCCTGTAAATCTATCTATATCAAACAGCATTTTGCTATACAGAATTCAAAGATAATCATCAAAAAGTATATGTTTCTTCTACACATTTAGTGAAGGGGCTCAATAGGTTTCAGTTCGGAATCTACGACATAGAAGGAAAAAACCATCAGAAGTTTTCATATTTACTAAAATATATGTTTATTTCCTGATTTGAAAATTGCAATTTTATATCGCATTGTATAGTGCTCTAAAATTCGAAAGCCCCATCATTGCCTCTTGTATTCAGAAACTGAAATTAAAGAGTTCAATCCAGTTTATGAAGCCTTAACTAAACCAAATAATGCTGGGCCTCTTTTTAAAGCCCAATTCATTTCGCAAGCCTGTTCACTTTAAAAATATTAACAGATTTTAATTTTCTATTTGCAAAAAAATGATTTTAATTCGAAAAAATCCAGTTACTATTTAGTATTTACAAAGAAATAAATTATAGAAAAATAATTTACAGTTGAAAGCAATTGATTTTTTTTAAAAAAAACGTAGCCGATAGTTCAAAATATTCACGAGGGATGCCTAAATGGATAATGAGCTAGGCAAAAAGAACTCGATAATGGCCCCAAAACCAAAGCCCATGGATGCCTAATCCTATATCACCAAAAAAATAGGAACGACCAAAATAAGAGCGTTGAGACTAGAACAGGAGACAAGTCATGTGGCTTCAAAGGTTTTATCCCTAATATTGAAGTTTAGATGTCCCTTTGACAAAAAGATGTCTCTTTGACAAAGAAATACTATAACACTTTACACAATCAAATTTAATTTTGATGTGATATGATATGAATCATATGAATGTCTTATCTTATCACGTTTATCTTCTTAAGTATGGGGTCCCATCTTATGTATAGTTGGGACCTCAAAATTGTGAACAAACCATTTAACTATGTCCTGTTTTCTATTATATAGCCGATAATGTCTTCAAGAATTTTGTTTCACTATAAGACTAATATATCACACTTAACTCACATGATAACGTCACTCTTTTTATATATAATATGTTCGTATAATGTAGATTCCTGGGATATGATCACAATGCTTAACTATTAGACCAAGTTCATCTACGCTTACCAACAAATAAAATTGAAGCGTATACGTTCACACTTGGAAACTATTATGCTTGCACAAATTCATGTATTGAAAAATGTAAAGTTGTCTCATAAGTTTTAAACGATGTTAAAAATAAGAATAATAGTTGGAGCAAACTTGTGAAAATATTCGAATGGTAATCTCGAAAACATCAATATACATATTTGAGTTCGCAATTGACTATTGAGATGGATGACCTAAGCTCTAACATATTGACCAAGTGAGCAAGCTTACTAATTTCACTAGTAGAGTGGATGGCTCTGGTCTTGGAAAACAAATGCTACGGTACGGTTTAGATTCTATATATACAGGATGCATGGATTAATTGATCTGATCAGACTAAAAAGGAGTCACCAAAGCGTCCCCGCTCAACAATTGGAATTACAAATCCTGATCTATATAAGCTATCCAAATGAATACCATAATATACATTATGCTCATTTTGTGACACATATAATCGATTTGGTTAGTATATTGTCAACTTGTCAAGTCCCGAGGATTGGTAAGTTTTCGCTTCGAAGTTGGCAGAGATGTTTTGAAGATTTTTTTTTTCCAAACTTTATGTTAGAATGTGAACCGCGCGATAAGAATGATGAAACGGATTTTTTTGCTCATAAATTTTGTATTAGTTTTTTTTTTTAATGTAAAAACCGTTGTATCGCGTTGAAGCAGTAAATTTAATAAATTTTAAATAATTTATTGGGCTTAACATTAGAGATGCAGATCTTTTATATAATATGACCCACAACTGGCTATAAGAGGACAGTTACAAACTTAAAACATCAGATTAAAACGTTATTTATATCCCTTGACTGCAGTTCTGTCTACATGGGATTCTTTCCCAAAAGAGGAAAAATACTTTAAACCAAAAAAGTCTCTCTTTTTTTTTAAGTTCAAGTTTCAAAGATACTGTATGAACTTTGTCCCCAAGCAATGTGTGCATTATTTGCTATACCAAACTTTTCCACGGCACATGAAACAGTAAGATTCCCCTGTATAGTACTATTCATAATAGTATTTAATCAAACAAATTATGAAGAGACATCGGGAAAAAAGTTAATTCACATTTAATTCGCACATTAATTTACATCTATAATTATCTTATCATCTAAACTTTACCATTATCAATGATGTGTTCTAACTTCTAACTAATGATGGTAGTCAATTAGAGAAAAAAAATGATTGTCAATTATACTTACCAAAATAAGAATTTAAAAACAAAGATAAAGTGTTAGATTGCAAAATCATCACATATTGGTAGCAACTTGGCACATATATACAAGTAAACGAGTTGGAAGAAAATGATACAAAAGCACATATAGCGGCAGATTTATTTCATAAAAATATCGTGCGAAGTATATCATTCCAAATTTCCAATATAACAAAATTATCACTTATTGTTAATAAAATGATTAAAAAGGTATCCTCACATGAAAAAGTCAAAGAAATGACAATAAAAAAGTCTCTTGTTCATGTGAACTTCCTAGATCCCTATTAAATCCGAATTAATTGTATCGAGTATTGCTACATATAAAACCTTGAATTATAGTATATTATATATTTCGTATCCGTCGTCAATTCTCTCCAAGCAACAAACAACTTGGGAAAAAAGAATTACGACGAGGGTAATTTAATTAACATATATAAAAGAATTAAAAAATGAAAAAAAAAAAAAAACTAATTAAAGCATGTATTATGGACCGTCGGATCAATTGAAACTCCAAAGCGGAATGTCAGCATCTTCGTAGAAATACTCATCGAGCATCGTCGTCGAGTTTAATTGAGGAGAGTAATTAAACGGAGCTCCATCATCGAACAAGAACATTCCATTATGATCATCATACCATGATGATGATGGATTCATCAAAGACACATGATTGTCCACAAAAGATCCCATCAAAGATTGCATCCCATCATCGTCATTATCATCATGATGCTGATCATGATCGGACGGTGACGAGACGGCTGATGAAGAAGGGGCAAAAAGGTCAGGTGAATTGGCAGCTTGAGCAGCTACTCTTTGGATGGATTTGGGGGATAAAATGGTCTTTTCATCTAAGAGATCATCAAGAAGATGATGATGAGAAGAAGAAGTAGGGAAGTTGAGATTGGCTTGAGGACCTTTGAGACACAAGAGTGCAACATCGTAAGCCCTAGCAGCTGCTTCAGCTGTTGAGTAAGAACCTAACCAAATCCTTGTCTTTTGATTTGGTGCCCTAATCTCAGAAACCCATGATCCCCAACTTCTCATCCTCACTCCTTTGTACTTCTTAATCTTACTCTTCTTGTTCTTGTTCTTACACGAAGACGAAGACGAGGAAGAAGATGAAGATGAAGAAGAAGATGGTGATGATGACAAAGGCATTTCCTTTTTTGTGTTGGTTTGGATCTTGCGTTCTTGTTTCACCATGGTAATGACTTGTTGTATGGATCACGTACGTAAAGGCTTTGTATAGAATGATAGGACAATGTGGTGTTGATCAAGTGAAGAGATTGTTCTTGAGTTTTTGTTGTTGTTGTTGTTGTTGTGTATGGATAGAGATTTTTTTATGAGGATTAGTGTGAGCTGAGGAGATTATATATAGAGATGGTTTGATTTGGGAGGGGTATGGGAGACGAAGAGATGAGATATTATTTATTGATATAAATCTAAAACAGGGTCAAATGAATTATAGTATGGTTTCTTGTGTATGAATGCGACATTGTGGTGCATGACAGGGTGTTTTTTCTTCTATTTTTTCTTTATCCTCGCTATTGGCATTAATACATTTTTGTTCCCTTCTCATTAAAAAAAAAAAAAAACAAAAGAAACTAGTGAACTTAAATATTTGGAATTTAATTATTTATTCGAATTTGGATCCATGTTAAGGCTTTGCCCAATTGTTCGAAGTTCGAACAATGAACCTGAACATGGCCTTCTCTTAACCTTTTGCTTGTTCATTTAAAAAAAAAAGTTCATGTATAACAATTCTTGGTATTTAGAAGAAAAATACATAAACGTATAATGATTTTGATTGGCTTTTTGTGGAATCACAAAAACAACAATTTATAATGCGACCACGTAAACTTTTGTCAAGTGCATGTTCTTGCTAAAGAAAATATTTTATAAGCATACATTTTTAATGACAAAATCATTAATTTCACAAGGGCCCATTTAAAAAAATATATTTATTCTCCCTAAATTTATTTTCTTTTTTGAAGTTTTTTTTAATGTTTTGGATTCTTTCTAGAAAATTTCCAAAAAAATTTACCGATTCTACTAAAATAAAGTACCGATTGGAGCCAATTTTGTTAGGAATAATTAACTAGGAGCGTATAATGTGTATATATATATATATATAGCTAGCTGTACGGAAGCCACTTGATGAGCAAATCGAGGAGTGATGCTAAATATCATACTGTATAGTACAGTATTTTATTAGGTTGAGATATCAATTTTCTTTTATATTTTGACTATATATGTACCTATCATCACTATCAGGAGATTACGAATTACAGCTTTGTTTAACGCGTTAACTCGTATACGATCTTTCCAAGAAAGTGGCCCCATTTATGGTTTGATTATTGGTGGTCTATGTTTATTCTTTACCAATTAAACTAGTGTCTTTATTTGTAGTTAGACTCCAAGTTTATATTACTGTATGATGTTTCTATTTTTATGATAAAAGTGACGTAAAACCTCCAAACATACGTGCACAAAATTTTTATTTCTTGTAATATTTTTCCTTACTAAAGTATTGATTTCATCTAATCTTTTTATTAGATTTGTTACGCGTACCATCAAAGTCTAAAGAAAGAGCTGGTTTAAAACCTATATGACAACTTGCTATTGGATTTAACATTTTATCATCGTGGCTCATGACTTTGTGAATTGTGAGTAACTTACGCGTTAACAAAATATAGACGTCGTGTACGCCACAGTAGTTAGTATAAATACGTTTGATAGTACGTATTATAATCATTTGGTAATATTTATAAATCATAACGCAACATGTTACATACAAATGATAATCAAGAGGAATGATATAGCCTTTTGGCTTTATCCTTACACCATTTTAACAACAAAACATTAAGATATTATAAAAACAAAGGAAAATTATTACCAATCAAAATTACTGTTGATTTTTAAATTAACGGACCAATATTGATTGATAAAAATCTCTATAAAATGGTTAATAATAAACCTAAGAGACATGTAGTATTTTGTTAGTAGACATGGAATATACTTAAGAAAATAAATGTTTTGAAGAAATAGTTGAAATGAAAATAGCGAAGAGTGAAGAGTGAAGTCAGAAGAGTGTGGGAGAAGGTGATGATGCTAAATTGATAAGAGAGTGACTTCAAATTACAGCTGTTTTCACTCTGTCACTTTGCTACCCAAATCCAAACCGCGTTTTCTCTCGTCACACTCACTCGTGTATTTAATTATCTTCCTAAATTTTGTGATCCTTTTTCAAAAATAATTCATACTACTTTCAACACTAGTGATACATCCATGCATATCGAAAATATATGTGTATGTCCAAATTTATTATAACATCGTTTTCTCCATATACAACTTGTGTTATAAAAAAAAAAAAAAAGAAGTATAAACAATTTGTCTTTAATTCATGATCTATTTGAGAAGATTTAATTTTTTTTTGTCAATTTAGGATTTCGAATTGTGAATAAATTTTGTCTTACGTAACTTTAATATACATAGCGATACCAACATAATTTATACGACGAACATATGCTAAAGATTGATATAAACAATTGAAAAAGGGGGAAAAATAAGACAATAAAGCATATAACTTTAGGACACGCAAAGAGCACATGATCGTATGTAAGAAAAGATGGAAGATGACATGTTCTTTGTGGACAGCCTTGACTTTCTCACAAAGCTTAAGATTAATCATGGGATATGGTGTACTTTAATTTGTTGTCTTCGTCTTTAGATTTTACACTTTGGTCTTAAGCAAAACTCTCCAAGATGTCAGAGATCAGTTAGATAAAGGGAGAGAGAATATGGGCGGATATATTGTCAGCTTTCCAGCCAAAACATGCGTTTGCATGACTAGAAGAAGCATCTCGATCGTGGCTTCTTTCAATTTTAGCTTTTGAGTTTTAACACTTCGTTCATATTTGACACCTACTCGAATGAAATTTCCTCTCTTGAATTTTGAAAATTATAAAATAAATTAGTCAATGTTTCTTATATTCTACTTTATGTTCCACATTATTTTTAGTGTGAGATTTCTAGAAAACATTTTTGCTTCTTTTCAAACGAAATCAATTACACATGAATAGACATATTCCGACAGACCCGAAATGCAAACCTAAAGGCTAAGGCAAGTAAACAAACATTGCAATACAAACATTTTTGCTTTAACAAACAAACAAAAATTAAAACAAAAGGGATCTTTCTTGATAAATGGAAAATCCAATAAACTGTATGTATTAATTGGTACCGTACTCTCTCCGTACCAGTTCCCAACAAATGACTCAACGAGATCACCACGATACAATCTCGACCTCAATAGTTTATACATTTATTATTGGTGTACTATTCATCCTAACAATTTCGGAGGATTACAATATATATATACTTTGGATTACAATATATAAATATATATATATATATATATTTTGGTTTACAATATTATTACAGCATGGCAAGGAAATTTCTAGGAAGATGAAATAGTATATACGTTGAAGGTTTTTTTTAAAAAAAATCATTGAATATGTACGTTGAAGGTTCAACCATGTATAATGGATCCAGTGAACTTGGTTCAACCACCAAATACTTATTCTTTTTTTTTTTTTGTATATCTCACAGATCTATGATTTAGTCGGTTTTGAAAATGTTAAAAATGATGTGGGGACATAAAATAAGTTAGACCCCATAGGCCCATACATATTTGTTTGGTTTATAAATTCATATATAATTTCATTTTCCGTCTACAATGCATAGTTAGACCCCATACATATTTGTTTGGTTTATAAATTCATATATAATTTCATTTTCCGTCTACAATGCATACAAACATTTTTTATATTTGAATTTGAGTTATGGCACGACATCAATACAAATGAATAAGCTATAATAAACGCCAAACACATAGCAAATAAAATATACATCTTCTTATTTCATGTTCTCTTACAGTATTCACCGTATAAATAACAAAGATCCTTATTCAACCATGAGTAGAAAAAGAAACAACAATGAACCGGGCCTTGTGGCCTAGTGGTAAAAGGGTCACAGCTGTGATTTCCGCCACCAGGGTTCGAGGCACGGCTACTGGCAGGCATGCCCGGCCCTTCACCCATTTTGGTGAATCATTTGTATTGGGCCTCAAATTTCCGAGGCCCATTTTGTGAAGATTTTTTTTTTTTTTTTTTTTTTGAGGCCCCAAAATTATGAAATAAGCTTCAAAATTAGTAAAAGAGGCCTCAAAAATTAACAAAAAAGGCTTCAAAATAGTAAAAGAGGCCTCAAAAATTAACAAAAAAGACTTCAAAATAGTAAAAGAGGCCTCAAAAATTAACAAAAAGGACTTCACAATTAGCAAAAAGGCCTCATAATTAGCAAAAAATCTTTAAAATTTAAGAAAAATTGTTAAATAAAAATTATAAATGCCCCATAATTAGCAAAAAAAATTTTTTTAGCAGTTTCTACTTTTTAAAAAAACCCCAATTTTTTTTTTCGTATTTGGCCCCGGATTTCACCGGACCGGCACTGCTGGCAGGTTTACATAGGGGAATTGCCAGCCTCGTGGGATTAGTCCTTGGGTCTAGGAAGCCTTTGAGAGACCCGCAGTTATTAAAAAAGAAAAGAAAAAAAAAGAAACAATTAAAGATAGTTGCAGAGGCAAAACAAGTAACTAAAAAAAAAAGTGTAGGTCTTGGAGAAATGACAAAAAACGAAAATAGTTAAGAAGGCATTGCAAGCCCAAATAATATCATCGGCCATGTATTGGCCCATTTGAAAATCAGGTTGTGATGCAGGCCCACTTATTTCCAAAATGTAACGCTTGCGTTTTTCTTACGAAATATTTTAATTCCTTCTTTTGTTTACTGTTGCATTTACAAAAATCAAATAATATTAATTCATCTATTAATATAACACAAAAATCTTATACTATATACTAACTTAATATAACACGAAAATGTGTTTTTATGAAATAAATTACTCCCTCCGTTTCAGTTTAGTTGTCGTTTTAGGATTTAAATTTTGTTTCATAATAGTTGTCGTTTTAGGTTTTCAATGCAAATGTTTGGTGAAAATTCCAGTTTTATCCCTACTGTTTTAATGTTTTAACCAATGAATTTTTTTATAAAATATATTAATAAAAGGTAAAACAAAAAATTAAATGTTTTTCTTAATTTGTGTGAAAAAACCTTAAACGACAACTAAAACGAAACGGAGGGAGTATCTCATAGCAGGGTAATGTTTATACACAATTTGTGATTTAAATGATAACAAAACACAATAATCCCAATAATTTGTTTTCAATTCAATAGGCCTCTTGGTACTACTAACTCACCGTCACAATAATTTCTCATTCAATGTTTTACCTGTAATCTTCGGCTCAAATTAGCGATAGTAATTAAATGCAAAAATCCACTTTGAGAAGAAAATAACAAAAATGGAAAACGAAACCCGCTAAATCAATAAGAAGGTAAGGTCAATACAATGACGCGCCACCTCCTTT